CGTTCTGATGGCCTTTTAGCAAAAGGATTTTTATCAAAAACATAATGTGCTCATATACGGAATAGTTGTATTACCAATACATGTAAACAGAGTTTTATGGGGCCCCTGGGAACTTGGGGCCCTAGGAAAGTATTGCCTAATGATAAATCCCTCTATGTAGGACTTTACTGTAAACTTTACGTGGAAAAAGTTCCTTTTTCCTGCAATTCTCATTTCTCTTCTGTGTCGTCGGAAAACATTTTTAAGCATATTACTGTCATCTAAAAGGCTGTAGGGAGAAATTTGCTTACCTAATTTATCTTACTATTATTAAATGTAATGTGACTTAAATTGAGTTCCTCTGCAATTTCGAATTTGCGTTTTTGTAAATTGCGATTATATTGCAAATGCAATAAAGTGCCCAGGCCTAGTCAAAATTATAAACACTGGTTAAAATTGATGCATGAACGCTCACAGAGATGTTTACATAAACTGAATGTGATCGAAATCAACCTAATTTGGCTGTGACTATGTTCAAAGTGAAGAAAGTAAATGTTGAGGGGTTTAGAATATGCAATAAACAACAGAAAAATGGAGGTTTTGACAGTGACAATATGCTGGTTTAGATTCCCACAATTAAAAAATATGCGTCTAATTAAATTCAGGTTTGAGTCAAATGTTTGCGAAATAATTTTACAAACAGCAAAAAGGATGAAAAACAAAGAAAGAAGCCAAGAAGTTCTCATTTTATCTCAAGAATAAAGGGAGAATAACAGAAGAAAGAATTGGCAGGAACTGCTGTGTTCTTTCCAAGCAGCAGGTTTCCACACTTAAAGAGAATATCTCCCATTAAATATAAATCAAATAAAGTCTTATCCAACCAAGCCGTAGCCATTGTCTTAACATGTCATTCTGGCTCTTTGGTATTTTTTATTTATTTTTTATTTTTAAAGATAACTGATCTAAAGAAAATACAGATATTTTTTCCCTCGAGTTGCCATCTTCACATTGTATGTATTAACTAGATAAAAACAAACAATTATCTCACCCAATTCTGTCTGGATATTTAAATGTATTCAATTCAATCCAGTTTATTTATATAGTGCCAATTCACAACAGCAGTTTACAGAGATTCGGCTGAATGAAGACAGCCCTTTACCAGTTGTCAAGCATGGTGGTGGCGGCCTTTTGATAAGGTAACTGTGCAAACAAAATGATGCTTAAAATGTAGAAACACAAGGGAAATGAGCCCATTTATTACACTCCCCAACGCCTCGACCATATTGAGAATTTGGTTAAAAAATAATCAGTTTAACCCAGAAATCTGATTGTAATATTTGGGATTAAACTTCAAAAGCTAGCAGATGTTAAGGATAAAAAAAAATTATGATTTATTTGATAATGGAAACTTTAAAACATTTGAATTTCTAAAATCTCAATATGAGCTACTACCAAAGATTTTTACAAATATCTGCAGATCAGAAATTATCGGATTTAAAAAAATATGGCTCCCTTTTAAAAAAAACTAAATTAGTTAGATCACAAAAAGCGCAAGCAATGTATATATATANAGATTTTTACAAATATCTGCAGATCAGAAATTATCGGATTTAAAAAAATATGGCTCCCTTTTAAAAAAAACTAAATTAGTTAGATCACAAAAAGCAGAAGCAAGCAATATATATATATATATATATATATATATATATATATATATATATATATATATATATATATATATATATATATGTATATGTATATTTATACATCCGGGGAAATATATACATTCTTAGGTAAGTAGGTTGGACATGAGCCCCCTAACGACCTGAGCCCAGGTGCCATACACCCCCCAGCGTCCCCCCCATCCCACTGCAGGCATACACTGCACACAGGTTCAAGGAAGCCCAGCAGGCTGAGATCCATCTGGGCACGGCGATTGTTTCCCACTTGCCATACAGCCACGCCAGCTCAACCGGCTCCCCCGCCAAACCCCCACCCAATGCCAGGAACTGGCAACCCTCATCCCAGCAAAGCTATTGAATGGGGGCCAAAGGCTGGAGAGCCAGAAACCCATGCCAAGTCATGACCAATCCCAAGGGATAAGCAGAGAAAACGGAGCTGTGAAAGACCCCATGCCAGCCCCCCTCCTGCTCAGATGTAGTGTTGGTACCTGTTGGACTATTGAGTATTTAAAACCGGGGGGAGGGTAGGTGTGCCCACCATAAACCCTACGTGTCTAAATCTATTCCAAAAACCATTGGTGGTTTTAGGACTGAACTTTTACTGGAATCTGAGGATGTTCTGTGCATGACTGTAGAGGTATGTGGATCTACAATTACTATTACTTACCTTATTCACATAAATGTGTCTAATACTTGTAATGTTGGAGGTTATTTCCACTCTATTCTTTGCCATGTTAATGAACAGCTATGTTTTTTTTAAATGTCCTGTATCCTGATAAAATAAAACTAACCAGTTTAAATTAGCTCTACCAGCTCTACCAAGAAGAATGGTCAAATATCGATCCAAGAATATATAAGAAATTTAGCTGGTTGCTACAAAAAATGTGGTTTTGGACCAAATGAATATGAAAAATGACTCTTTCACATTTGTGTCAGCCCTGAGAACTGATGGTAAAAAATAAAGTGAATATTAGTTAAGCATCACTTACAGGCTCATACTGCAGGCCGTTGGATGTGATCATTGCTTCTGCCAGGTCCAAGATGTCTGCCCCCACATCTTCAATCAGAAACCAAACAAAATCCATGGTGCACAAGTTCAAACGTGCAACGCAGCTTATTGATGATGGTGAAGAAGGTAGGATACTCACGCTGACATTTCATCGCAACTGTGATGTCCACATTTATCTTTAGTTTACTGCAGTCCAGAAAAATAAAAAATATTAGGTTTATACTCCAACTTCTCTGCAGCAGCGTATTGATGAATGCTTACCTGGAAAAATCCTTGTCAACCTCATATTCGTACTTCATCCAAGTGTCTCGATATACGAAGAACTCCAAGATGGCCAGAACCGCCATGGCACTAAAAGCTATGATGGACACTGCGAAGGAGACAGATGGAGCGGTTACTCTTCAGTCGTCTTCCTGCTGCTGGTGGTTTGGTTTCAGCTCCAACCTGTCCCTCCAGACGCCGACGTCTCCACGTAGCTGTCTGCCACTTTGGGGAAGGCGTCCAGCTCCTTAACCAGGCTCAGGGCTTTCCTTCTGGACAAACGCCTCATCTTGAAGGTCAGGACTGATTTCCAACTCCTCATAAAAAAAAAAACTATTTCTTTAAATATCTGTTATCTGAAGAAAAACTAAAATCCAGCTGAAAAGTTTTCTCCTAAAACATGTACAGCCTTCTTCCAGCTGTTTGATAATGATCAAGTTCATGCATTTTAAATACATTAAGAGCCTGACTGCTCTGAATAAATGTAAACAAAGTCATAACCATGCCAACAAATTCAACAAAATAATCATAAGAGCTGTAAAATGCGGCTTAAGCAGATATTTGAATTTTAATTTTAAAAGTATAATATTGAACCTTAAAGTTTATATTCACATTAATGTAATTCATCCCTTAGTTATCTGTTTGCTTTTTCTATTCATTGAATTATTTCTTATTTATTTTCTAAAATCTTTGTGTATATATTTTTTTATATTTATTTGGGTGTTAAATTATCATTTAGCAAATAATTTAAATCTAATTTAATTATTGGTGCATTGTTGAGCCACAACAACTATTATTTTTGTGCATTAATATTATGCGTAAGTTAATAAAATAAATGCCTTATTTATACTTAAAAAACTAAGCATCTTACATGCAGTAACATAGTAAATACATTCCTTAGTCACTCTACAAAATAAAAGAATAATTCTCTGACATATTAAATACATTCCTTAGTCACTCTACAAAATAAAAGAATAATTTTCTAACATATTAAATACATTCCTTAGTCACTCTACAAAATAAAAGAATAATTTTCTAACATATTAAATACATTCCTTAGTCACTCTACAAAATAAAAGAATAATTTTCTAACATATTAAATACATTCCTTAGTCACTCTACAAAATAAAAGAATAATTTTCTAACATATTAAATACATTCCTTAGTCATTCTACAAAATAAAAGAATAATTTTCTAACATATTAAATACATTCCATAGTCACTCTACAAAATAAAATAAATATTTTTAATTACCATTACAAAAAATAGTTTTTGTAATAGTTTTTGAATTATTTACGGTATATTTAAACTGCTATTTACATTTTTTACTTATGTATTTATTTGTGTGAAGCACAAAAGTGTGTATTCGTTGTGTTACAATAAAATGTTTATTAAAATTTAATTATTGTGTTTTTTATTATTTTGTGTTAGAATTGTGTTTCATTTTTTTAGGCTTTTTTTGTTAAATTTAATCCTACTCTCATAGCTGATGAAAACAGATAATCTTTTCCTGCTTCTTATATATTTTTTAAAATCACTCATTATAGATAATGTAGACTCAGATTAACATAAAAACGGTTTGATTAAATAATTTCAAACATAAAATTAATTATACAATTTAAAGGGTGAAATATGGCAAAATCAATATTTGAAAATGACAGGTACTGCCTCATTAAACATTTTTTTATATCTTCTAATAAAAGCATTGACTTATTATGTTTTTGTATTTTATTATTGGCACAGCATTCATTTATTAAGTTAAGGCAGAACTAGACATCATGGAGAAATATACTTCAATCAACAACTGCAATTAAAGGCAACAATTCATAAATTAACCCGATATTTATTAATACTTAATACAACTGTTATTGATTTTAATTTTTAGATTCTGTGATCATTTGTAGCTGCAGGAAGTGTCAGTTATTAGGAATTCATTTATATAAAATTTTTCTAGTTATTTGCAGAAGTGTCCCATTCAGAAAAAAAATCATTTATTGATGTATTTTTATATCTTTAATACCCTTGTCTCAGGTTTCTGTTTATTACATAAACTGAGGTGTTTTATTATTATTATTATTTGCCTCTGGAATTAATGTAAGCATTTATACATATGTGACTTTATATATAGGCTTTACAAACCTTTAGTTACATAATGCATAAATTAATTCCAGAATGTGTTCATCAAATAATGGGTTTCATTAAACTGTCATTAGAAAATATTCAGTTTATTTAGAATTTAAATGACATATTCAACATTCATCATTATGTTTCCTATTGTTATGGAGGCAAGTAACAGGAAAATGGTATCAAAATAGAAATACTGAAAAAAAAAATGGTTTTGTTAGAACATAAAGGAGCAGACCAGTCATCTAAATGATAATAATGGTCAATTCAACCATAACTGACGTCACATCACTGTTTTCTATTCATCTTACCTGTTTTATCATCAGATGGTCTCAGATCAGCGCACAGTTTCCATGGTAACCTGCAGACTTACGTATGTGAATCGCTTTCTATTTGTATTTAGGAGCAACATAACCAAAGGATGTCAAAGAGGCAAGACGCAGAGGGTCGCATTTCGCCTGGTTACCATTGCGTAATGACGCAAACTATTGAGGTGCACAGCGTGCTCGCACGTGTAGTCAGTGAACGCGCGGCAGCGGGTACCTTTTTATACCAGAAGATGGCGCCAAACACCAAAATATATATATTTTTTTCAATTTGTAATGCTGGTGAAGTTAACATTTTAGTTGCTTCATGCAAATTAATCCAGAATATAAGAGAGATGCCACTTGGAAAAAAAATGCAAGCAGCAGTTTATTTATTTTCCATTTTTGAATTTGTAGTCATCAAGTTTCAGTTAAGAGTTGTTTAACATCACTGTGAAAAACCTTTAGGCAACTCATCAGTGCAGGATTGTTTGATTTAGGGCACTCAGCGGAGGTTTACAGGAATGAATGACGAGTTAAGCGTCACGCAACAGCAGATGAATAATTTAGGTCCAATGTATGACTCAGCGACCTTTTTTTTTAGTGACTTGTGTGTTTCAGATCATTGTCATGGCAGAGGCCCAGACAACAACACCACCTCCACCGTGTTTAACCAATAGATATGATGCACACCCTTCAAAATAAGTTCTAATTTAACCTCATCTTTCCAAAGAATATTATCTCAAAAATACTTATGGGTTATTTATGTGTCAAATATGAGTCAGCTTTGTTAGGGCAGCAGTAGAATTTGCCTTGGATCTTTGAAACCATTTCTACCTAATTTCTTTGTGATAAATTAAATCATTAATTCTGACAAGGTGTGTAAGACCTTCACATGCCCTTCTAGAGCAACTTTGGGATCCTGGATGTTCTTTTTCATCACTTTTCCATGTTTTCTTCTTTGCCCCTGTGATTGTTGCAGTCCCTAGACCTTACACTGCAAAAACGACCTAGGAATAAGTAAAACTTTCTTAAATTAAGTGTATTTAGCCTGAATTAAAATAGATAAATAAGATTATTTGCCAGTGGAGAGAGGTTTTTTTTTATTATGCACTTAAAATAAAACAATGTAATTGTTTTTTTCCTATTTAAATGTGAAGTGTCTCATTAAACTCCTCAATTCAAGAAAAATACACTTAGTTTAAGAAAAATTACCTATTTATATTTCATTTTTTTGCAATATATATAAAAGCCGTTTATCTGTTCTTGTATTTTAGATTAGGACTGGTTGTGTTTGTTGGAAAAATTGCAGCCTTAATCAGATTTAAAAACCTTTTTTTCTTTTTATTTATGTTACTTTTGTCTTATATCAGAACTTGTTTAGCTATCTGAAAACAGTAAAATGTGAAGGACGCTCTTAGTGTAAATGAGGTTCATATTCTGAGAATGTAACTTAAAAGTTAAAAGTTAAAAAGTTAAAAAAGGCTATGAAGCTAAAAGGGATGGGATTTCTGCAAATCGAGGTTTAAGTACACTTAAAAAAATATCTAGGAATGAGTAAAAATGTCTTAAATCAAGTGCATTTACTCTTAATTTGAGCAAGTTAATAAGATGATCTGCCAATGGAATATTTTTAGAGTATTTTCACTCTTAAAACACAATAATTAGATAATATGCACTTGAAAGGAGACGATGCAACTGTTTTTTCTTATTTTAAATATAAATTGTCTTGTTCCATTGGTAAAGTATCTCCCTCTCCTCCTCAAATCAAGAAAAAGGCAATTATTTTAAGAAAAAATTATTTAGTTAGATTTATATTTTTTGCATTGTACAGTATAAAATGTAGAAAGACTATTTCAAATGGTCAAAATGTTGTTTTTCTGATCATAATTTGCATTGTCCATGCATTGCATTAAATTCTTAAAGAAACCAGCTGATATTTTTCCATCATCAGTCACACCAACTCACCTTTAGTGCCATAAACATAAGTTGTAATTAACTGTTTATACAGTGCAGTGCATACATGCCTTAAGTTACCATGCACCGATGAAAGCAAGAGCATAAACATGAACATAATGAGCTGATAAGAGACGCTGTTATCTTCAGCTCTGAGGACAAAAGAACTGTTTACATCTAACTGCAGGGAGGAAACAGAATCGGTCTCAGATCTGCAGATGAGCCTTCACATGTGTCTTCATCGCTTTGGAGCCTCTGCATGCACCAGAGCTGCTTTCCTATGCAGAGCGGCGCAGATGGGCGTGTGGGGGGATGGGTGCTGTCAGCTCACAGATCAAGCTGTGGGTCGGTGGTCCCATTGCTATTCACCACACAGGCACGTAGGGCATGTCAGACATCTTCCGCTGAGACACGCTGAGCATCTGTGTTTTGATTTTTTTTTCTTCTTTGCTCGTCTGAGCTGTTCAAGCTGAAAATGGATGCCATAAAATGTGCTGCCATGTAAACAGCCATGATCTTTAGAAACAGCTTTTGTTTTTATTGCAGGAAAACTGCATTTTTTTTATCTACCTACATGTTTGTAGGCAGATTATTGCCTATTTTACACATTAGGATTCAGTTTCTATTTAATTCTAATATTCCTTATTGATTTGCATCGGAATAATTTGATTAATTCATCATTTTATTTATAAATTTAAAAAATTTTATTGATTCATTTGATTTAGGTACCTAAATCCTTTAGATAACTAAAATAAATGAAAGTTAAATATTTTTTTATTTTATTTCAATAAAATATTGAAAGTTTAATTTGTATATCCCTACAGAAATTTAGAAATGTAGTTTATAGGTAATAGTGAATTAGCGCGCCCTGTTTTCATGACTTAGTTATATAGAGTACTTGATTTGTTTTGTTTTTTTTGCAGTTATTAAAATCTAACCTTAGCTTCCTTACTCTCATTAGTTGTAGGGGGGAAAAAAAGAAAAATCTATTAAAAAAAACAACAACAAAAAAATTACATCGCCTCTATTATCAACCTTCTGGTGACCTGCAAAGGTCGTTTAGCTGAAAAGCAAAGCAAAGCAAAATATTTCTATTTACTCATAAACCATAAACATTCTGATAAAATCTCTAAAAACTTTAATTTTCGGTCCATAATACAGCTCTTTTTCATAAACTGATTCTGGCTTTAACTCTGGAAACTTGAGCACCAGCTTACATCCCAAACAGAGACATGAGAAATAGGTATAGAACCGACCATTTATGACACAAATTGTAAGAAATTCTCAACAAAATGTAACAAAAATGCAACAGGGATCTTTAATTAACATCTACTTAGAAATGATCATCTAACAGCCTTACTTAACGTACTAAAAACTGTTTTGGTAGCAGTAGGGATGCACGATCTTGGGATTTTGGCCGATATGCCGATATTCCGATATTTTAAAACTCGTGTAGCCTATA